CACCATCCTGTAGAAGCCCTTATTGATTCTAGTCATTATATTTTGTTGTTTAAAGTACTATAAAATTTTATGTTCAATAAAGCAGAGAAATTTTTTTTCAAAAATTTTAAGATTGTAAATTTTTTTGTTAAAAATTAAAATTTTTTCCCCCCAAACTAGGCTAGGGTTTTTGTGGACCCCTTAAAGTTTTTTAGATGGAAACCCCCCAAAAAAAAATTTTTAAATTCCTTGAACCTTTAAGAAAAAATTTTAATTTGTTGAAACATTTCCCCCGTAAAAATTTTTTTTCCCCTTTTTTTGGGGCCCCCAAAAATATCTCAGTTTTCCCCCAAAAATTTCCACCTTCAAATCGCCCCGCGGATACCTTATTTCTGGCTCTGTTTTTTGGGAAATTTTTCCCTTCCCCAAAACCTTTTGGGGGGTCCCGTTTACATTTGGCTTTTTAAACCCATTTTTGCCCTTAAATAAATTTTTTCCCCGATAAACCCTTCCCTAACCGGGAAACCCCTTCCCCAAAATTTTTTTTCTCCCCCCCTTCTCCCTTGTCCTCTTTAAACTTTGAAAAACTGGGACCCTTTTAGACAGGGAGCCAAAAAAGTGGTTGTTGGTCTTTGTTTTCAGTCAAGGTCAAGCCTCCCTTTTAGGTTTTTCCCTAAAACTTTCTTTATTTAAATCTAAAGTGCCCTCTATTGAAAACCCTTTTTTTCCCAAATTTTCCCGTATAACTTAGCGGTTTTGCTCTTAAATCCCCCCCCAATTTTTTAAAAATTTCCCAAAAAAACCCTTTTGGGCTTTTTTATAAAATTCCCAAAGGGAAAAAAAACCCCCCGGGGGAAAAAGGTTCTTGGGGGGGGGCCCAAACCCTCCAAATAAAATTTCTTCCCCCCTTGGGTTGAGGAAACCATTTTTTTAAGATTTATTGAATAGGTATTTAAATGTTGTTATTTTTAAGTTTCTAAGGGCCCGGAATTTAAAAAAAAACCAAGGGTTTAAAAAGGTAAATTTTGGTATGTGGGCCCCTAGGGGAGAACCCAAAAATGGGCCCATTTAAAAGGGCATTAAGAAGACCGTTTTTTTAAGGGGGGGCCCCGAAAGATCCGGTCAGAGAAGGCCCCCCCCCCTGGGTTTTTTTTGAGACCGGGGTTGGTAAGGATGTTTAGAAGGGGCCCCCGGCCCCCATTTAAAAAACCTCCATTTTTTCTCGATTTTTGGAAAATTTTGGGGAAATTGTGTTTTATTTTTGGGCCGTGTTCAGCTTGGTGGGTAAAACCATTCCCCGTTTGGTTGTGTGCCTGTTTTTTTGTTACCCCCCGGGGATTCCCCCCCTTAAGGGAAAATTAGGTTCCTTTTTAAAACATTGAAATTCGGATTTTAAATCCGGGCCGGGGAGGGAAGTTAAAGGGGGAAGGTGAAGGGAAGTAATCGGTTTAATGGAAACCCCTTTTTAACCTTTTTTTGTAGCCCGGTTTTTGAAAAATTTTTAAAATCGTTCTTTAACCCAATTTAGGGTTAACCAAGCCGTTCAAAATTTGCCGGGGGGGAAATTGGGGCTCCCCCCAAAATTTTAAAAACCCGGGCTTTTTCCCTTTTTTTTTTTTTACCCTTTTTTTTTTCCCTTTTTTGTTTCTAATTTCCTTTTGCCTTCATTTTTTTCATCACTTTCCCCCCCCCCCACCCCCGGCCCCCCGGGGGCCCCCTTTGGGGACCTAGCCCCGGGGGTGTTTCCCCCCTTTTTTTTTTTAAAAACCCCCCCTCCAAATTCCCCCCCTTAAAATTAAATTTTTAAAAATCCCTTTTAAAACTACAACCTAAAATTATTCACAACAAATATAATTTAAAAAACAATATAACTAAAACTACTTATAAAAACTTTCCCCTTTTTAAAAAATCTTATCCTTTCCCAACCCCCCCCCCCAAAACCCCCAATATTTCCATATTAGCCCCCAAACTTTTCAATTCAATTCAAATTTTAAAAAACAAGTTTTTTCTCATGAGGGTTAAAGTGACAGAATTTGGTTTTTGTGTGGTTTAAAAAAATTTTACAGAGGTACCATAAAAACACCAAAGGGTTGGGGAGATTTAGAATTTTAAATTTTAAAAATTACAAAATAGGTAAGTTTTTTTCAAGTGATAAAAACAGTTTTGGTTTCTGGAAATTTTTTTTACGTAAAGTTTCTATTTGGGGTTTCCCTTTTATTTTAAATTAGAAAATTTTTTTTTTAGGGAAAATTTTAGTTTTTGGTTTAAGGTAACCCCAGGGGACGTACAAAAAGGGGTGGGTTCAGGGAGGGTTTTTTAAATTTTTTTTTAAAGGGGGAATGTTTTTCTTTTAAGGGGTTTCCCGGGGGTTTTTTCCGATTTTGGGGTTTCAAACATTTAATTTTGGGGAAAATTTTTTGAACAAAGGAAGATTTTTTTCGGGGTTTTACGGGGCTTCCCCCTTGAAAAAATTTTGGCAAGGTTTAAAAATTTGGGGAAGGTCCGTAGTGAGAGGAGGTTTAAATTAATTTTGAAAAAAAAGGGGGGAAATTTTATCTAAGGGTTGGGGGGTTTGCCCGTTGGGATTTTTTTTTTGCACTTTTTTTTGGGTTTTTTTGGGTTGGTTTTCTGAACCCCGAAAAATACTAGGGAGGTTGGAAAAAGGGGGTTTTAAGGGGGAAAAAAGGGAGGGAGGGGACGGAAGGTCCCAACCCTTTGGACTTTTTTTGGGTTTGTTTGGATTTTTGGGGGAAAGGGTTTTTGTGGTATGGCCTGGAAATTTTCCCTATTATTCGGAATAGGGGTCAAAAATTTGTGTCCCTTTGCCCAAACAAAATTGGGGGGTTTTTCTTTAATATTTTTGCGTCATAATGTTTTTTATAGCCCCTTGTTTAAAAATTTTGAGGGGGAAGATAGGGGGGAGAGCATTGTTGTACAAAAAAAATTTTTGGTGTTGGGGGAAAGTTTGGGGGGAAAATTATTTAAAGAAAGGCGGGGAAAAGGGTTCCCCGTGCTCCCAACAATGGTGTTTTAAAAATTGGTTTTTTTTTAAAACGAACCTAATAGGAAAATTTGAAAAAAGCAAAGGATGGGTTTTACCGAAAGGGGAATTTTAAAATTTTGTTCTACTTGTAAAACTTTTTTTGGTAATAAAAAAAAGGGAAATTTTTTTTCCTGTTTGGATGATTGCATCATTAGTGCTTTTATTTTTCCTGAATCCAAATTGGCAGGGGTTGAGTATGTTTTGTTGCCATTATAAATGAAGGGTAGTCTCCTGTGCACGAGTTTCTCAAAGATTTTGGATAGCAATGGTAAGTTTGATATTGGCCTATAGTTGTTTAAGTCTGTAGGGTCACCACCTTTATGTATTGGTGTAACCCTTGCCATCTTAGTAGTTTCGGGAAGGTGCTAGTTTCTAGTGATTTTGTTAAAAGTAAGAAATAGCATGCGAAAGGACATGGGCCGCTCGCTTGTACAGTAATGGTGGGACATGAGACAGATTCCCTGAGTTGTTTTTAAGTGACTTTATAATCTCGGTGACTTCCGTGGGCTCAGTTGGTGCAAGATAGAAGGAATTTGGGAAATTCCCATCTGGTAGTCCCCGGCATGGGCATTGGTATGGGGGATTTTATTGGCGAGTTTTAGATCCCATGGTTGAGAAGAAGTCGTTTATCTTTTTAGCTGTGTCAGTGGGATGTAATGGTTTTTCATTAGGTTTAGTTAGGACAATATTCTTGTTTTTTTTCAGTCTGTGGGTCCCTAGAATCTGAGAGAGTGTTTTCCAGGTCTTTTTTATATCTCCTCTAGTGTCTGTGAATCTACTGGAGTAGTATAGTTGTTTGGCTTTTTTTATTACTTTGGTGAGAACTGATGAATAGTGTTTAAGAATATCTTGTGTATTAAGCCCTGTCCTATTTTGCTTTTCATTATTGGTGTTTCTTGTCAATGGATTTCAGAATGGTGCTGGTTAGCCATGGGCAACCAAGCCGTTTGTTTGTAAACTGTTTCGTTTTTATAGGACAATGTTTGTTGTATAGTCTAAGTAATTTGTTAAGAAAAATGTCTTGTCCAGTCATCAATACCATTGGCCTTGGAGAATTCTGTAGGCGTCAACAGTCTCTAGGTCAGCTGTGAACTTCCTTATTGAGGCCTCGTCATGGAGTCTAAATGAGACTTTGTTGTATTCAAGTGGTGGTTTACTGATGTTTGTTAGGAGGAAGGTAGGGTAGTGGTCTGTAGTGCTATCTGTGATTATCCCTGATTTAAGGGGGGCTAGTATATTGGTCCATATGTGGTCTATTATGGTTGCACTTGTCTCAGTGAGCCTGGTTGGTTTAGTTTTTTGTTGGTAGAAAAGTGTGTTGTTCATATTGTTGATGAAATCAGTTACAGGCTGAACATCTAGTAGGCCAAGGTTGATGTTGAAGTCTCCAGCTAAGAGAAGGTCGTGCTTATTCATTTGTCTGTTTGTTATTAGTGACTTTAATTTCTCACTGAAATTTGGGATGTTTGTGTGAGGTATCCGGTAAATGGCACCGATTGTTATAGGTGTCTTAAGTTTTTTACAGTAAAATTAGCAAAAATGCATTCCCCATATTCATCACTAAAGCAAGTGGTGCTAATACAAGATAATTGGTTAGAGTAATAGATTGCAATACCACCCCCCAACTTGGTTAGTGTGACTTTGTAAATGGTCCAAGTCGGACCGAAACGCCGTCGTAAGCTCCTCTCTTCTATGTGCGGGTTATTTGTGTATCGTTCCAGTCACGGTATTGTGCCTTTTTTTTTTTTTGTTACATAATACCATATCTTGGAAAGGATGCCTACTGTTTTGGATAGTTTCTCGCATGTATAATTTATTATTTTTATGGATATAGGAAAACCAAACCTAATCTAACCTAACTTAATATGATGCAAACCGGATGTGACTAAATTGCTGGGAGGAAGGGTTGCCATTCGGGTACTAAAATTTAATATGTGAGCCCATATAACAACTGACAAATAAACAGTGCCAACACATTACCGCCAGATTTTCTACGGCTCTTCGAAGAAGCCGATCACCATTTCGTGTAGAGTATTGTCCTCTCGCTCTTCCAGACCCTTAGGCGCCAAGAATCTTCTTCTGTCATAGAAAACTATAAACTTTTTTATTCTTTTTTTCTAGATTTGAATAACTTATCCCTTATGAAGACCGGGAAACAGATTTTCAGCGGTTGAAGCCGTATTGAACCTTAATAACAACAACAACAACAACAGCTGCCAACATGGCTAGTTGGGGAGGTAGGAAGTTTTTACTGAATTCAACAATTTATTGTGTATTACAATTTAAGAGAAAGAATATTGAGTTTTTAATATAACTCAATCTTTTAGGCTTGTAACTTAAACGATAATTAGGCCGTGGAAGCAGCAGCTGACGTTAATATAACAGTGCTGAGGAAATGACGTTTCTGCTGCACTTTGCAAACTTCCTCAATCTATATGACTCCCTGCTGTATAGCCCTTGTGGCTTAGCGCTTGTTTTTGATTATAATAATAATAATAATATATGACTCCCTACAGGTTTAGCACTTCCCCATAATGTAATAACCAAACAAACATAGACTGCAGTAGGCCTACTGGCCCATGGTGAGCAGGTGCCACCCACACCCACTTGTTTAACATATATGAAGCTACTCAGAGTTCTTGCTTCTCTGACGTTACCTGGGTGTTTGTTCCACACATCCACAACTATTTCCAAGCTAGTATTTCCCAATAACCTTTATAAATATATTTCTCCAATTTGAATCTATTGCTAAGTGGAGATAAATGGTATACAATACCGACATGATGGAAAAATACATAATCATTATGCTGCATTTGTGTATTTTAGCTATTGCTGCGAGTCTTGTCTTGTTTAGATATCCTCTACAAGCTCTCTACATCCCCTTTATTTATTTTTGTTTTTCATTTGTACATTTCAATCTTATATCCCTAATTCTATGTTTTTCCGAAGAGTGCAGGTTCCGTGTCTTCAGGTTTTATGTGTAGGAAAGATTTCTGATACATGAGATTAACTTCGTCATCCTTCTCTGTATATTTTCAAGCGCATTTATGTCCATCTTGTAATATGGAGACCAGAACTCAGCAGCATAATCTAATTTATATTTTATTTATATGAAGCCAAGAATTCTCTCACCCTTATTGCAAATGCATTTGCACTGTTGTCTTGGCTTTAAATTTCTGCTTACCAGAATTCTTAAAAATTTTTGCATTCACTTTGACTAAGATCTGCATTATTTAGCTTGTAAGTGCCATAGTTATATTCTTTTCATAGAACTAGAACCTGACACTTGTCTGCATTAAACTAACTCAGTGGGAGATGGCCAGTGTGTTAAAAAAATTCAATAATATTGCTATAGTTTTTCTGAGATGGTAAGACACTCTGATGTTAATTAACCATTGTTTACTTGAATCCTTTTCAGTTGTTACCATGTTTGCTATATACCTTGAATCTTAATTTGACACTAGGAAGGTACTGTCCTTAGCATACAGACAAGAAGAAGAGTAAGGGACCCAAAATACACCTTTGTAGGACTCGACAAGATATTAGCCAAGTCTCTGATTTGGTATTATAGAATTAGTGTTAAAATTTTGTTTCTTGTTGTTCACATATAGTTTGTAGTACCAGTTATGGCTGACCAGAGAACTACTTTGTGGTTCGAACCCCAAGTTGACAATCCACTAATAGGTTTGCCTCCAGAAATCGAGATTAAATGTTTTTATGTTAAGTTTAATTAGGTAAAGTTTTGTGTGTTGAAGAACAGTTTTATTTTTATTATTCTGCTGACAAAGATCTTTTTATTTTCTTATTCAGCCTTTAAATTATGCTAATACAGGTCTGCCATCACAAATCCAGCATCATTGGGGGCCTGTAGTGTACCAGATTACTGAGTTTGCCATGATTACACTTAATAATGCACTTAATAAAATTAACCAACTCGTCTTAAACAGAGTTCATTGAACATTTCCGCTACTTTGAGCCCAATTTCAAGGTATTTTTCATCGTGAAACCAATCAAAATCTTATCTATTTCTGTAATATATCTTCCATTCTATCAAATGAGACCAAAAAACGAGAATACAATCATAAAAACTATATGAATATATACCGCTATGGGGCCGCTAATGGTTGAGAAGTGAACTCCGTTATTTATGGTCTGATTTCTTTCATTTTTTAGTGTACGTTAAGAAGCATCTTTCCATCATACATTGCCCAAGTTTCAATAAGATAGCCTAACAAACAACTGAGAGAAAAAAAAAATACGTGATAATAATAATAATACGTACAGTGGAACCTCTACTTGCGAGTGCATCCACGTGCGAGTTTTTCCAAATATGAGCAGTCAATGGGTCGATTTTTTGTTTCCATACCCGAGCAAAATTTCCATAAGCGAGCAGACCTCAAGGAAGGTTCCTTGATGCTGGTGAGGGGCTCTTTCTCTTGGTCTAGGGAATTGTATCTCATTTGTTTGTTGGACTATCTTATTGAAACTTGGGCAATGTATGATGGAAAGATGCTTCTTAATGTACACCAAAAATGAAAGAAATCTAAGCATAAATAATGGAGTTCACTTCTCAGCAATTACCCACCCCTTAGCGGTATTATCGCATGGTTTTTATGGTTGTATTCTCGTTGTTTTGGTCTCGTATGATAGAATGGAAGATATATTACAGAAATAGATATGATTTTGATTGCTTTCATGACGAAAAGTACCTTAAAATTTAGCTCAACACAGGAGAAATGTTCCATTGTTTTGGCTATATTCAAGAGCAAACAAATGACGTCACTGCCCATTCCAATATACAGTCGTGAATGGGTTGACGTTATTTATACAATTATTGCAATAAAGCATAACAGTAAATCTTATATTTTTTGTGCGAATAAAAATTACAAATTATTTATATTGTAATAATAATAATAATAATAATAATAATAATATGAATATGAATATGTATAATAATAATAGTGCATATAATAATAGTATAATATAATAAGAATAATAATACATATAATAATAATACATGTATTATAATAATGTACTACATAATAATAATTATAATAATAGACGCTTCAAAAGGCAGTGTTTACCACAACATAGAGAGAGCGGTTGTGGCCGCCTCCACCTGTTACATAATGGCATATTTTATTCATTCTAGAGTATATATCAGGTTTCTGTGTTATTTATATTGTTTATTATTTCATATTAAATGAACTGTGATAGATAAATAAGCCGTAGAGCTGATGATAGCGAAATATTCAAAGGGAATTTTGTCCTGTCTCCAGACAAACTCTCGTCGGCTGCCACTGCCACATATATAATGACATATTTTATTCATTCTAGAGTATATATCACGTTTCTATGTTATTTACATCTTCTATGTCATATTAGATGAATAAGCTGTAGATAAATAGATAAATAAGCCGTAGAGTTGATGATAGCGAAATATTCAAGAAATATTTTGTAATGTCTCCAGACAAACTCTCATCGGCCACCGCCACATATATAATGACATTTTATTCATTTTAGAGTATATATATCAGGTTTCTATGTTATTTATATTGTTTATTATGTCATATCAGATGAAGTGACAAAGTTAAATAAGCCGTAGAGTTGATATTAGCAAAATTATTGAAGCACAGAATTCCACTGGAACGGATTAATTGCATTTCAATTAATTTAAATGAGGAAAATTGACTCTGCAAACGAGCAAATCCAGTTGCGAGCAAGGTCATGGAATGGATTAAACTCGCAAGTAGAGGTTCCAGGGTATCTTTATTTACTACAAGTACATGTACATGGTATACAGGCCTAGCTGACATCAGTCACATACTACTATGTTAGAAAGCTCCATGTTATGCTAAGCATTTCAGGCAAATTAGGTCGGTGTCCCAGGATAACTCCCATGCCAGTCCACTAATACCCCAGTACCCATTTACTGATGGGTGAACATAGACAACAGGTGTAAAGAAACACGCCCAATGTTTCTACCCTGGCGAGGAATCGAATATTTGCCAAAAATCATGTATAGCTAGCCCAAGCTAGGTATTAGACATAAGCCACTTTGTCTGGCTTTTTTGGGTTATTTTAGGTTCTCTACACATGTGCTGCTATGTGTGATAATGTAGAGAATATAGCTTTTTTTTTTCAGTTTTATGGTGCAGTACGAGTGTATATCACAGTTAGCCCTGTGCTCTATTCCATTTTCTCTAATATAAGCCCCCAAGACAGGGATAGGAGAATGGTACTTGTATCCCATATCGTCTTCATACCTCCGGCGAACTGCTCGGTATTATGCCAAATATTATTTATTCTGGAGTATTTAACATGTTTTTGTTTTATTTATATTGTTTATTATGTTATATTAGATCAATTATGATAGGTAAATAAGCTGTGGCATTGATATTAGTGTAATAATAAAGTATATTTCCCTGCATCATGAGACTGAGCTCATGGCAACCAACAGTGGCTTCAATGCCACCTTATCTTTAATGGACAATGTACTGTGCAGATGCTTTAAACAACGAGAAGCATTTCTTTTATTCATTGAAACCATGGCTAGGGCTAGAAGTAAGCAGGCTATAACAATAAATGGAGAAAAAGAAATTGGAATGACTTATGCAGCAAGTAGCGCCGCCAAACAGTACCAGCAGGTTGGTGTGGCGACCCTGGAAATTTGAAATTATGCTAGCCGTAATTAGTGCCGAATAACTGATGGAACCGGATGTGTGATTGCCAGATTTGTGATGGCGGACCTGTATATACTATTGTATGTATTTACAATAGTATATACGTATTGTATATACTATTGTATATACATATTGTATATACTATTGTATATTCCAGTCTTAAGATTTTGCCACTGAAGAGGTTGTTTTATTTTGTTTATGTACAAATAGGTCAAAATATAGGGAGTTTTCATTATAATTTTTAAATTAGTATTAACTAATATATGTATTTTTCTTATCTGTTTGTGAAATGTATTGATATATCATATTTTTTGTAAATGGCTATAATTCATTTATTATTATATTTGACAATTTCTCTAATAAAATTTTTCCAGGTGGAGGTTAAAAATAGTATACAAAAATACTGATATGGGGGGTAATAAAGTTCCTACCAGGTGGTAAGAGTGAACTCATTATCTGAACTTTGGTAAAATTCCTTAATGTGCTATTTACTGGTAGGTATAGTAAATTAAACAGTGTTTTAATCCTTAAATTGAGTACAATGTACAGTAGGG